TATATAATAAACATCTCTATGCATAAATGTCTATCCAATTTTAGGTTATTTTCCTCAGATAGATTCCTAGGTCTGAGTCAAAAATTAGGAATATGTTTAATGCTCTTGTACACCATGCCAGATGGCTTTCCAGAGAGTCTGGATCAGTCCTATATTCGCGTGATGCACCCTGATGCCTGTCTCCCCTGGCTCGTAGGTATTTTCGCTTTTAAAAATCTGTGCAGTGGCAACTCATTTTAGCTGGTGGTTTTAATTAGATTTGTACCTTTAAATATGTTTATTAGCTATTTTTATTTCCTTTATGAATTGTATTTCAGACTTTTGTCTATTTTCTATGAGCTTTTAAAATATTTTATGAGTCAGCTGGCATTTTCCCAGAGAATTCCCACTCACTCTTAAAATAAGTAAATATTGGTTGCTACTCACTCTTGGGCAAACTGAAGTTGCCCATATGAAAAAACGAAATAGCCCAATTATGATTTATTGTCTACATCTCAGTCATTGTGACTTTAGATGTGGAAGCAACCTTTCTATGTTCTGCCTTCAGTGCCTCCTCTGAAATGCGACAAGATTCATGGGGTTAGTAGTTACAGACTCCTGCCTGGCTCCCGTTTTAGCTGCTTTGAAGGATGATTGAAGGTGATTCCCCAGTTCCCATGGTGAATTTCATAAATACAGTGAAGCCGGGATTTCAAGTCAGCATCACAAACTATCATTAAAATTTAGTAAAAATTAGGACTCATTTCAGGTGATTAGCCTTGCCCTCACAGTTGTGGTTGTAACGATGGTAATTATAGTTAATTACATTTGTCACGGTGTGGCTTACTTTCCTGGGGTGTGTAGAGAGAGAAATTTTTATCTTTTTTCATAGTCACAGCTACTGAGTTTACTCTCCAATTATCTTTCATTGTATTTACCATTAGGAAGTCTTTCTCAAAACACTTGGTAATCATAATGCAAACCGTAGACAGCCTTTGTGCCTGAATGAGGAATGCACAAGAACCGTCGTTCAGAGATGAGAAGACTCTAGTCTAGAAAGAGGAAAAATCATTTGAAGACCTTCCTTGAACTGGGAGCTTATGAAAGAATGAAATTCATGTCTGATTGGCAGTGGAGTCAGTATTTTCACAGCTTCATGAAATTTGTGAGTTGGCCTGATATGTTGGTTCAAAATAATCTATTTCTGACTCTAATAGCAGTAATCTACAGCGAGATGTTACGAGTATTTCCATAAGGGACTGTTCACCTTCCTCGTAAGAAGAGTTGATAGGTTATCCTTTTGGACTATTTCCACATGTGTGCAAGTCAGTGTCATTATGCTGGTTAGAGTGTGGCTTTGATAGCATCTTTCTAACTTTGTTCATTTTGATGATAATCTTGTCTCACTAGTGATATTTTACACATTTTCTTTTCATACTAGGAACACAACTTTCTCACATGATGTCTCAAAACTTTCTAGAAAAAGATGATTGTAGCATCTTCATTCTATTAATATAGAAGCTGAAAGGCACAACCATAATGCGTTACCAGACTTCTCAGTTCCAAGACCACCTACCTACCAGGTTTCCTTCCTCTCAGAGGGGACCTTCCTCTATTAAACCACACCACTTTCCTAAAAAACTGTAATATCTGGGCCAGTCATCTTCTTGCATTTACATAACAGTGCTGTTAAGATTTGCTCTGTAGATGAGGTTAGATCTGCCTGATCTTGAAGAGATTCTCCCAGTAGCGATTTAAGGCCACTGCATTCTTAAAGCACTCAGGACAGAGATACACAGAGTATTTCATTAGAGTTGGACATACTTGAAGGCTGACAACCTCCTAATAAAATTCATACTTTTTCTGGCTCTCTTGGGCAGTTTATTTTCCAAGCCTTCTCTTGCAAACTAAAAAATGAGAAAGTTAAATCCATGAGTTGAATTATTCTTTGGGTGACTGGCATCATATTTGCCTTTAAATGCTCAGAGTGAGTGTGCTTCATAATGTGAAACAATCTGAAAGTACAAAAGTTATTCTCCGAGTCTAATCTAATATCCACAGATGTGAAGAAGGTAAGTGGAAACAAATTAACACACTTGTATGTCCAATCTTTTTTTCAAATATATAGATAAGAACAGGGATATATGTTTTTGTTAGCTTTAATCTTACCAATTCCTTATATTTGAAAATCTTAGTAGAGTTGAGGAAAAAGTATGTGCAAGACCCTTTCCCTCCCCTATGTTAGGTTGTGTTTCAATATTCTTTTATTACTTTGAATTGGCTTAAAGTCAAAACAACCTACTATGGACCACAAAATATTTTCAGTTAATTTAGGACTATCCATTGTCCAATCTTGGCTAACCATCTTAATTCTTTGGTATTTGCAATATATCCTACATGAGAAATGGGGCTGACCAAAAACAAAACCAAGCAATGAATCGACAGCAGAGATGTCATTTAAAAGAGGCTTCTGAGGAAAAACTTTAGGGTTGTAATTAGGTTTCCCAAAACATCTCTAGTTGGAACTAGTACCACATAACTTATTGCCACTTGAATAATCATAAAATCAGTTTTCAAAAACATTTCTAAATTTTTTTGCCACAATATGAATTGCTTTATGCAAGTATTGAGAACTTCCCTATCACACAATGTTATATCAGCTATGAGAAAGATCACATTGAGTGACATCAGAATAATATATGAGGTAAATGACATGAAATTAACCTCTTAAAATGGGTTTGCAGTCCTTTAGCACAGATTTGCTGTTAGTCAAAGTAGTTCACATTGAACTTTCAACTACATAATTTACACAAAGAATTGAAATGGTGAATGTGAAAAGCTTTAAATAACATATAGTCAGTATATTTTTATCTTAATAGAACACATCTTAAAATCTAGGAATGTTTGTATTTTTTCATTCACTTAACTTTGATTTGCTTCTAAAACTTCAGCCTTTAAATGAAACAAACTGATTAAATGAATTTTTACATTGTAGTCAGCAATGCTTTTTTTAAACTAAGGATATTTTGTTGGTTTTTATTTTAAGAGAAAATATAGAACTAAGAACCTTCTTCCTAAAACTTTATAATTGAAGTTTATTTTTAAATATGCTATTTTAAATTAAGTATTTCATTTCTCTGCCCTCATTAGGTGTGTCTCATCATTAGAAACAGTGTTACTAAATTGTAACTTTACAGTTTCTTTGATTAATGATGGCTTGGACTAAAGTTTCATTGGGTAGAATTAACTATGCTTACATATGGCAAAGTGCCATGATCACATTAATGCCAGAATTTAATGAGAACCAGAAGTTAACTTCAAGGACCTTCATACTTTAATATGAGGGCATGCTTATATTCTTATTATTTGACTGTAGTGTCCTATTAAAAATAAGTTATTCTTTATCTTGTTTCTTGTGATAAAAACTTTTATTAAGCAAAGTTTTACTGATTGAATATTGATGAGGTGCCAACCACATGCTAGAGTCTTACAAGTGAAACCATTCTCCATCCTCAAACAAAGCAGACCTTTTCTGATCAGAAAGAGCAGAAATGAAAACTACCTCCTTTACTTAGAAATCTCATGGCCTCTTATAATTTCGTATGACTCTCTGGTTTCCTGGGGCACGTTATCCATCTCCCTAAGCTCTGGGCTGTTTCTTATATCAGAAGATATACTTTCTCCACTGTCTGAATTGAAAAGCTGACCAGCTATGTCCCTGCAATGAAGGATCTCTGGGATAGGGAGCTTCTTACGTGTGAGAAGCATGGGGAGTGTGAATTAGAATGGAATGTTCTATTTGTGGTACTGATCACCACTGTACTGTCTAATAGCTATACCGCATAGGAAGAGAAACTTAAGCTTTGTAGAACTATGTGATAAAATCGGAGGGAGTGGCAGGTAGAGGAGGAGGAGTAGCTGACAGGAGGATTCATTGTGGTCTGTGAGGAAGAACCTTCCTGTCTGAAAGGTGGAGAGTACCAAACTCTAAATGCGGATGAACTTAAAGCTCTTTTCTGTTCTAAAAAGTGCCATGATTCCTATGTGGCTAGAACCCAAAGAAGGTCAAGGACCTCGAAGCAAATGCCTATATTCCTCATTCATTTTTCTCATAGTCTTCTGCACACACACTTGCACAGAAATGTTGAGACCTTATAGAGACAGTGAACCATAACTACACGATGTAAGAAGTACAGCACAGCAGAGGCAAAGGGAAAACCTCATCCAGAAACTCCTAAGGCAGGAAATCCTCAACTATTAAGCTTGTGATTCAGGCTTCCTGTGGCAACAGCAAAGGGGAAATAAGATAACAGAGTGTGCAGAGTGTGACTTTCTTGTAGTAAGACAGAACCCCCCCCCAGTTCTTCTGAAACAAACAAGAATTTTTCTTGCTTAATTAATTAATCAGAACAACTTGCCTAAGAGATTTGTCTAGGGAGCCATAAGCCACATAATAAGTGGCATCCTCATGAATTTTTATAGAAAATAAATACTCCACATATGTCATTTCCTATATTGGCCTTTGGAGAACACTGAGGGAACAATCTTAAAAGCTAGACATTTTTTTCTCCCGTGGGGCAGGGAGAGGGGAGTTTGAAACTTCTGGTATATTTACTGTAGATAGATGCTTATTTTCTTTTGACCCACTGACATGTGGAGCAGGAGAAAAAGGTAAAGCTGTCTAGTAAAGGGTAGCATTGTAAAAAGTAGGAAGGGATAAATGGAATTTTTGTGGCAGAATGATATTTGCAAGACCGATCAGGCCACTGGGAGGTTTTTAAATATGCCAGTTCCCTGTAACAGGAAGATCAGTCTCTGTTTTAGACAGCATATCCAATTTAGTAAATTATTATTATTCTGTCAAAATTAATGTGAACAATTTTCTCTTTGAGGCTGCGTTTTCCATAGGTGATGTTTTCCAGATGGGCTTTGTGCAAAACTCTTAATGTTTTGTGTTTTCTTTCTTAGAGAAACAGGCTTTTCTGACATGTCTTCATTTCTTTCTCTTCCTCTCGTTGTAGGGAGGAGAATGCCAAAGGCAAAGGAGAAGAAGAACAAGAAGAAGAAGAGAAAGCTGATAGAAAGAGCCCAGGAGCAGCACAGCGTCTTCCTAGGTACGGACAGAGCTCACCAGTAAAATAAAAGACACAGGGGTGGATTTTTTTTTTTTTTTTTTTGGCAGGAGGGTGGTGGTTTTGCAAAAGTGCACAAATCTACTCTCCACTCCTGGACATTGGTATGTGGCATTTGTGCTGCTCTGACCGGTACCTGTTCCCAGTAACATTGTGAAAGGAGGAGCCACGAATGTGGTCCCTGTGTTATTTATGCTTTGATTTGCATCTGGAGACTGTGAAGGCTGGCGCTTGTGACCTGCAGCAGTGGAAGCAGGAATGAGTGTGCAACCGGTGACTCAGCTGGCTGTGTGGCACCAAGGGAGCCGTCCCTGGCACCATGGAGAGGCGGGAGGTGTGAGGCTGCAGACCAGACACCCCCCCCCCGCCAGAACAGACTTGTGCATATTTATGGGAATGATGATGCTCAGCAGGCAAAGCGCTATTTCACTTGTGACCTTTCTTTCTCCTGTTGTGCATTTTCAAGGCTAAGTGTACCGGGATATCTGCTTAGTGTTACCGCATGTTGTTCTCAGCACCGGCTACCTTCCAACTGGTGTGCCCTGAAATTGCGTGTAGCTGGGGCTCTGCTACCGGAATCCCTGCTCAGTTTCACAGCAGCTCGGATATGTACATTTCTGCTGGGGCAACATAGAAACCTCTTATTTACTGTATATTTATGCTTTCTTCTGTGTAACAATTCCTCCCTGAATAATATTATGTCACTTCGTTTCTAGTGGTTCCTAACCATTGTCTGGTAAATGACTTCTAGTTTTGCAAATTGATGAATGTTTTGTTGTCCCTTGAAACTTTTCTTTTTCCTTGTGGGCTTATTTCTCATTGTAAGGATAGGATAAGCTAGTTTGTACATAGCATCCAGTGACCCGTGTCAAAGAATTTGAATCTCAGTAGACCTTCCACACTCCTCACCACAGCTCAAGCATGAGACATCTGACAGTCAGAAGCCAAAAACTCTCTTTGAGTCTAAGATGTGATGAATTTTATGAAACACAACTGAAAACATGGGGAATTACATGCAGTCACTTTGTAGGACTCATCATGCAGTTTCACAGGCCAGCTAGAGAATTTTGCACACTTTTTAATTTCAGAGCAGTTCCTGACTTGGAATGATAGAGCACCTACCAAGATTCTTGGGTCAATGTAGAAGTTACCATCAAATGAAACCATGTGTAGTTAGCATTTGAGGAGAAAATGCTGAATTCCTACAACTGCTGGTCAGATCTTAACAGGTCTCCTTTGAGCCAGAATTTATTTCATATCCAGACCACAAGAGGAACACTCTGGAGACTTCCTAGGTGACCTCTAGAGCAGTTGTTTCAAAAACATCATTGTCCACGTGGGGGAATCTGTTCTTAGAGTATTCTAAATTGGCTTCTTGCAAAAGCATCATTCTCTTCCTAGCTGATCCAGAAGAAAATTAGAACAAAAAGAAATGGTTGTAGAGTTTTGAGGCAAAAAAACCAAAGCAAGGTAAGGCCTTTTTTCTCATCTTGCATTGGCTAAACTACCTCTTCTGCATTTTTTGTTTAACTTTTGAGTCAAAAGCATCTTACCGATAAGTATGTCATATACATCATTATGAAAATAATATTGCTATGAGACAATAAGCCATATATGAATGTTGTATACAACTTTAGGGTTTGCATTTAATCCTAAAGTGTTCACCTCCTTTCACGTCTATTTACACTATATTCCTAGTTACTAAGTGGGAAGGGGGCTTCTTTATATAGTGCTTCATCGTTAATAAGACACTACCTGTTCTGTTTCTGGGATGTTCTTTTTGTGCATTAAAAAAATTCAAAATTATTTTTTGTGGAGATTTTCTTTTCTTTAGAGAGAGATACATTTAGAGGATAAAGCAATACTTTAACAACTCTACCCCCAAAAATGGTCCTTAAAAAGCAGCAGATTTTAAAAATTTGTCTATGTTTTTAACTACTTCCAGGATACTAACTAGTTTAGCTATAAATTGCACTATATATCATAGTGTTAAGAGTGGGGGTTTTAGAGCTGCACTGCCTGAGTTCAAGTCTGGACTCTGACAGTAGCCTGGGACAAATTATTTAATCTTCCCGGGTCTCAGTTTCCTCTTCTATAAAGTGGAGGTAACAATAT